TGACAATTTATTTTCACCATCTTTCAGGAGCTGTTGAAAAGAAAACGGTCGATTTCTTTGACACCAGTTATGAAGAGACTGAGCCCTTCAGTGAGTCAGCATGAGGACGTAGCTCAGAGATGACATTCAACTTACCAGAGAGAAAGCTGTGTAGCTGGCCAAACTGCAGTTCATACTGCTGAGGGTCAGCTTGACAAGGAGCTGCCGAGACAACGTTGGCACAGCCAGACTCTGTCTGAACTGCAGGGATGGAGAGAAGAAAGATTTGAAAACGAAATCATTTTGATTCCTAATAACACCTCTACCAATACTATAAAATACCGTATTTTACTTGGAGAAGACTGAGTTTATCAGACATTTAATAACCCACACAGAGCACAACTCTTACCAGTCCTGTGTTGTAAAGTATGTAACATTAAATCTGATTTGAAAAGCACAAAATATCACGCTTTATATTTCAGTATATGATCGCTGTGACTTGGGTCAATGTTGAGCAGTTTGGAGTTAGAGTTCTAATCTGTGTATGAAAGTACTCTCCAGATCATCGCTACAAATGAACCAGTTCTCACCGTTAGTTCATACTTATTATAAATTTGACTGATGCTTTTATCCACAGTGATTTACATGTTCAGCCATTAGTAAATTTAGAAGGTGGGTACAATACCTCACTTAAGTGGACTAAAACGCTGTTCCACCTGGCATTTGACCCCTCAACCTTCCAGTTAAGTGTCCAGCACCCTGACCACTTTTCCACACTGACTTATTTGCTAACTAAAAACATGCTATTACTGCAAACTGTCAAACAATTTCACATACAAGGGGCTGCTTTTAAAAAAGGAGTGGAAAAAAAACAACACAGAAAAGACCTTTGACCCCCCCAGGGCCAGCGTGCCCCCCCTCCTTCAGGCAACGTGTGGTCACTCTACCTGTGAGGTTAGCTGCCATCTCCTCTGCAGTCTGAGAGAGCTTGGCGCCCTTCAGGGAACTCTCAACATCCACATACTGCCGCCGCTTGAGGTACTGAGCCACGGTGTACTGGATCTGCTCCGCCCGCACCCTCTTCATCACCTGAGGAAGACCGCAGCCGTCAGGGGCAAG